CGGGGCGGGGAGCCCCCTCCCCATCAGCGGGGACCGGCGGGGGGAGCCCGGGCCGGGGCGGGGGGCGCGGGGGAGGCCTGGGTCCGCCCCCGGCGGTGGGGAGAGCCCGTTAACCTGCGGCAGAAACCCGGATGTCTGTTTGAAAAACTCCAAATTATTGTCTCCCACACAGTAACGGCCTGAAATGGGGCTTTTTTTCTCCTTTTTTTTTTTTCCTTCTTTTTTCCCCTCTTTTTTTTTTTTCCTGCCCATTTCACAATGAAACCGAGTTTTGCGGATTTGTATTCCTTTTCCTCCCGCATCCTTTCACCTTTATTGAGCTATTTTTTTAGACTTAGTGCTTGTGGGAAAAGGCTAAATGCTTTTAATCTGTTTGTTCCCCCCCGACTCCATCAATGAAAATGCAGTTTTTTCCTGCTCCTCCGCCTCGGGGCGAACTGATTTTTCGGGTGAGGGCTCTGGCTGCCTTCCCCCTCCCGAGGGTCCTGGTGTTTTGCTTTGGCAGCAGAACTCACAAACTCCCGCTGGCGCATCCTCCTCGAGCCACTGAGCAAGAGCTTGGAAACGTCTCCAGAAATCACCTGGGTTTGTCACCCGGCGAGCGATGGGATGCTCTGGTGGCAGGGAGGGTGATGCAGGGAGGTTCTCAAAGTAGGCTTATGAGTAGGAATGGGATTGCTGGGTAGCTACGAATTAAATTTCTTTTCCCCAAGTCAAAAAGGAGTTCATCGATGCCTCTCAGAAGCAGCAGCCTTTGGAAAGCGGGGGTTAGAGCACGCTGCAGTCCACTCTGTTCTCTTACAGCTCTTCACAAGTGCTGTTCGGGTCCATTAATCATTCAAATGTAAGCCCAAAAATTTCATCTTGCACATAGAGGACCAAAATAAAAACAAAATCTGTAAAGTGAAAAAAACCCCAACCCTGCCCAAACTATATTTTTAAGGAAACATACGCAGCTACTGCTGTTACAAGTGACAGGGAGATGCTGAGGTGTGCATGGGGAGGTGTCAGTATTTAACCTTGCTTGCTTTGTGGAATTTGGGTGACATTTAATTTTCCTGTTTGCCTGCTGGCAGTTAGGCCTTAAAAACAGGAAAAATTTTCAGGCAGCAAAGGGAGGAGGGGAGACCACCTACAGCCACAAAAAACCCCAGGTTCAAATGCAGTTGCAATGCCTGCATCAAACCTTTTCAACTTTGAATTAGCAGTGTTATCTGTCTCCCTCATCTGTCTGTCAGTCGACCTATTTGCCCTCCTTCTGTGAAATAGAAGGGATTTATATTTTTTTCAGGAGAGTCTTTTCTACTTGCTCTGTGGAACGTTGAGCTTTTATTCGGGGCTTTTCAGTGAAGAGTCAGTTCAGGAATGAATGCCTGCATTGAAACTGAGAACTCGGGTAAATCACTAGTGTAGGGAAAACCCAGTGCTTGCTGATTGCTGGGTAAGGGCTGTAGAGCTGTGTGTTACATGCACAGGGATTATTTGAGGGTTTGGGGGAAGCCTGAGTACGTCTGCAGTTTCTTGCTGCTCTGCGCATTCTTCCTCGCTCAACACAACCACAGGATGAAGAGGAGCACTTAGGACAGGAAGAGCAGAGAGATGCCTTCGTTTTGTGATAGATTTTTTTTTTTTTTCTTTTTGCTGTGTTTGCATCAGAGAGCTGGCCCCTCTCTTTTCAGTGGTAACAGGAAAATAGCCAGTAAAGTCATTATTTTCACGTAACTGCAGTTCCTGTCGTTAGCTTTTGGTATAAGTTGATAGAGAAACGTTTTGAAGGTTTTTTTTCTGCTTTTCCAGGATAAACCTGGTAAGGAACAAAGGCTGTTTTTACCATTTTCTTAATGCTGTCATTGTCTGACGTCAGCACCTTGCTAATTTTGTTTCCTGACTTTGCTCAATCAGGGCTTTTCTCATGTATTTTGTTTGTAAACAGATGGAAACCAAACTATTGTGCCTGATTAAATCAGCTTCCTTTTATACAGCCTAATTTGTAGCACAATAGTTGCACTAAAATGAATAATTTGTGTTTGTTGAAATGTTTTGTGTTAATTTCAGTTGCTCTTTTCCAGTAGATTTTGATTAAATTCGGCCGCATTGTACCCCGGGGTAGTTTATGCTGATGGAAGTCAGAATTTTTGGCGTTTAATTCCAGTTTGCTTAAAAGAATCATAGAATCATAGAATCATTGAGGTTGGAAGAGACCCTTGGGATCATCGAGTCCAACCATCTCCCCTACTCTACAAAGTCCTCCCCTACACCATGTCCCTCAGCACTGCATCTAAACGGCCCTTAAACACAGCCAGGGATGGGGACTCCACCCCCTCCCTGGGCAGCCTGTTCCAATGCCCGACCACTCTTTCAGTGAAAAATTCCTTCCTAATGTTCAATCTAAACCTCCCCTGTTGGAGCTTGAAGCCGTTCCCTCTCGTTCTGTCACTAATTACCTGTGAGAAGAGACCAGCACCAACCTCTCTACAGTGTAATGTGTGTCTTTGTGGAGGTTTTATGCGCTTGTTTGGTTTTTTTCCCTGTCTTACAGTGAAAGTGTGCGTTCTGGATGATGGTAGTGCCTGGGAACGCCCCGGTCATCCAGCAGGATCATGCCCTGGAGCCTGACCTAGGACGAGACTCGCCGCAGAGCTCTGCCATGGGCCCGGAGCCCGAGCCGGCGGCCCAGGAGGTCGGGCCGGAGCTGGAGGAGGTGCGGAAGCTGCGGGAGCTGGTGAGGAGGCTGGAGATCCAGAACCAGCACTCGAGGATGAAGAGCAGCAGGAGCGTGCTGGGGACACACACGCAGAGCGAGCTCCGTGCTGCTGTGGATAACCACGGCTCCGGCCTTAACGGAATGGAAATTAATAACAGCATCAATGTCATAAGCGAGAAGCAGGAGTTGCAAATAATGGCAGATCTGCACAACCAGTTAAGCAAAATAAGAAAAGAGGAAGGAGAGAACAACTGCTTAAAAAAAGACAGAGATGCCCAAATGCAGTGTAGCTGCAACAGTGCCACCGAGGAGGTGTCTTCTGACACGTGTGAGGTGGAAACGGAGAGCGATGGTGGCGTTAGACCTTCTTCATGTACGGATACGGAGCTGATGGGAGGCTTGGTCATTGCAGGTATCGACTCCTCAGTGCCAATAAACGAACAAAATCCCAATGCCAAATGTGGAGATCTAGAAAATCTTTGGAATAGCGCCGATCTGGATGAAGTGAAAGTGTTGGAACTTGAAAATTGCAATGAAGAAGAAAATAGCTGGTATGTATGGCAAAAGTTTAGTAATATATGGAGCTTACGCTGCTGGGGTTGGGAGTTTCTGGGTTTAGTTGTGCAATAATTTTTAAGGGTATAAAGTGATTTCCATCCCGTGCTCTGATTTTTAGCAGCAAGAATGCAGTTCCCATTATTGGCTGCTCATATTTTTAAGACCATTATTCTAGAGCATTATTTTAAAAAAAAAATCAGTTTAACTACAAGGCTCCTCTTTCCCCTTTTCTTCCTGACACTGCTGTAGCAAGGACACAAAGCCTTCCTTTCCCTGTTAGGTTGCTTATGTATAATGCACACAGATGAATGAATGTTCTTAAGCTTTGTACAGAACTGCCAAATACTGTATTTAAATAAGAATTTTGTAAAACACAAACCGAGGCCTCAGACCATCTGGAATTCGGGGCTTTTGCTTGTATCTAAGAAGACAAATCACTTCCATTCCCTGAGAACTGTTCCGTTGCAGTTTAACCTGTTTCTTTTGTTTGGAGACATGAACTGAAACAGATCAATGATGTAATCCTTAACTGACCTTTCTTTGTAGCACTTTCCACCCGCAGCCTTGTTCAGAACTCCTTTTATAAATCAGCAGATTAATTTCCCTTGCCCTTCCAAAGCTGGGTAAAGTTCGGGGCTGATTCCAGCTCCTGCAGTAGCTGGGACTTGAGGTTTTACCTGGAGCTGTTAATTTTAAGAGTTTGTAGGATAGCCTTGGGGATCTGCACATTGTGGTTCAAAGGAGCGTAGCTGGAGATGAATCCAGCAGCAAAGACAGCATTGCAGAAGGGTTGCTGAACACAAAACAAGTCTTGCTCTCTAAAAATTCATTAGCCATTGTAAGTGAAGGTGAAATTTGTTTATTAATGGAATGGGGCTCAATAACATAATGCCATCAGCTCACATTGAAATTTAAGCTTATATTAAAAATAGGGAAAAACATTTTTGAGATGACAAATGAGGGAAGACTGATTTTCAGCATTAGTCAGTTTTGGAAAAAGAATGTATAAAGTTAGATGTGTTCTTCAAAATTTACTTTCTTCTTACACGTTGTTTTCCTGGGCATTCAGGAAGGTCACTCCCCCACCTCCCCTGCTGCAGGTGGTACAAGTGACTTCTCATTTGGTTTTAACTTCTACAGCCAGTTGTGATTTTTTTGTTTGTTTGTTTTGTTTGCAAGCTTCCTTTTAAAGCCCAAATACTGTCTCTGACTTGATCACAGCAGCTCTTTAGGGTACCTAAGCAGCATTTTGTGCAGATTTATTAAAAATAAATAAGTAAAAATAGTTAACAAGTTGAGTTTGGAAGACGGGCTTTATTTTTATGATTTCCATGTTAATGAAAACAGCCAGTTTTATACTCGTGTGACATGAGAGGTCCTTCAGACTGTATTGACTTGGTAAAGAAACCAGACGGAGTCTGAGATTTACTCGGGCAGGGAATAATGTCCAGTGCAATCGGGAGAGATTCTGCACCCAGGGGCTCAGATTATTAACCTTGCCTTGAGTTGGTGGCCAATTCAGGTCATTGATATTTATCAGGGACCCTTCTCGCCAGACCTTGTAGGATCTTCATGGTTTTGATAGCTCTATTTTCTTATCAGATTTGGTTAATATGGGCTGATAAGATTAAAAAAAGGTGCCCCAAGGAGCTCAGATCCAGGTGGTTATTGCAGAGCTCTTGTGCAAGTTCTGTTCCCATAAATTACCTTTGATCATGTTGCGTTGCTTCCTTTTGTTTTGTTTCACTCTTGTCAAACAAAACTGGTAAAACAAGAAGCTGTTTTTGTGAAGTTCTTGTTCCGGAGCTCCTCAGTCAGACAGAGTGGGAAAGGAGTGATGTACATACAGTCCCGGGTGCCTGGCTGTGCTCATTCCCAGATATCCTAAATTCTCCTCATAAGCACGTGTCCCCCATACTGTCCGTGCAGATATTCGTGCGTTCCTATCAGCAATAACCAGAAAACAGCGGTCATGGGCTTTAAAAACAAAACAAACCCCTTAATGTTATATGGATTTAGGATCAACTTTAAGAAGGTGGCCTTGCTGATGAGGGGGAAGTTTGAACTACTGTGGTGGAAGGTGCATAAATACCTCAAGAGGTGTATTATCAAAGCAAATAGCTTACTGTATTGTTACGTTTGCAGTCCTTTTAAAAATATTATATATTTTAGGAAAAAACCCTGTAGCTAACAATGGAACATGTGTATCCTGTACTTTGATACTCACGATTTTTGGCAATTTCCAGGAAACTCCCAGTGACTTTGTTTTTTCCTTTTACTGGTGAATTGATGAATTTTAACAGCGCAACCTGAAAACGGAGGTTGTGATGCCTGAACTCCTGTGAAACGTGAGGTGAGGTGTCCCCTGCAGCAGCTGTGACTCTGTCCCTCCTTGGTGTCCATCCGTGGACATGCTTTCTTCAGTCACTTTCTCAAATAGCTACCCAAAATTGTGAATGTCCCGGAGACCCAATGGAGTGAGAGGTAACTTTGGTGCTGTTGAGCTCAGCCTGGTGCTTCACTTAGACTTGTTACTGGTCCCCAGTTCCCTCCAGCACAGTGCAGAGGCTGTTGTCCCTGCAGAAGGGAACCAACAAGAGCATGGCCTGGTTTGTCTGCCCCAGGGTTCCTCCTTCCTCGGTGCTCCCCGGACAGAAGAATGACGTTGTGGTTTTCAGTGCCTTTAGTTTATTGTTCTTCCTGCAGTGATTTGTGCTCAGCCTCTTGTTAGCGCGTTCTCTTGCTACTTGTTTGGTGTTTTGCCAATTGTCAGTTATTTTTCCTGGTAAGACTCTGGAGAGAGAATTTTGACTTGGAATTATGAAGTGATTCAGATTCCAGCCCCCTCTGAACTATAAAACATTCTTATTAATATGTCATTGGGTGAAACAGAGAGATAAAGAAATAGCAGAAGTGAAAAGCCTTAAACTTTATCAGTAATAAATCTGAAAAAATCAACTCTCTGAAGTCTGATATCCAAAGGAGAGGAAAATGAACGCGTTACCTGTTTGAAATACATGCTTTATAGAAGAATTTAGCTGCTGCCTTAGCATTTTATGGAGGCATATCTTATAAACCTAAATTGTTCTAAACATATTTAGCTGCCTCAGGTCTCTTTCTCCCTGTGCTGATGTAGGCAACTCAGATATCTGTGGCTGGTGCTGAGTGCTCTGGGAGACCCAGCACGTGTCGTTAAAGCTGAGCTTCATTTCACTTTCACTTTAATTTACTAATGGGCAAGTTCTAGAGCTTCCTGCAGCCTGAATTCTGCTCTTGTGATCTATAGATTTACTAGTGCAAATATTCTATGTGATTAGGATCTTAAATTCTCAGGCAGTGCTGGCTTACACTCTGAGAACTTACCTGATGTGTTAGTTAATTGTTGAAGATGCTTTTTGTATTTTCCCAGCAGAGTGTGCAAGTTGAGGAAGTTGTCGGAGTATTTTCTAGATTCTTGGCTTTTTTTTTTATTGAAAGCAGTGTTTTTGAAATCAAACAATAGTGGTTGTTAATGCCCATAAATCCTCCTGTCACATTGACCCCAAAAGAAAAATAGTATTTCCAGAAGATGCTCTGCTTCTAGTGCGGTGGAATGTGTCAGAATAAAGTGCAAAGAACCCCCCAGATTTCTTTTTGAGTGCCTCCATTCTTAATGGCAGAAAAATCTCATCTTGTGGTTGTTGCACAACTAAAACTGCTTGGCTCTTAACAGAGGTGCATTTCGTAAAATACTTTATAGGGGAGAGTGAAAGACGGAGACTTGTAAGTGGGAACTGAAGAGGCTTTATCTAAGGGTTTCCTCACAGAAGCTGAAGAAAATCTCATTCATATTTAATAAGTTATGCAGCAAAACCCCAAGACATCACATTGAGAATATATACCCAAATGTTGACTTTCTGAATTTTGCATTAGGCCCTTGTAACTATCTAAATAACTTCTTCATTTCCATTTGTGATCTGACAAAAGGAAACATTCAAAGCCGGGCCTTTTGCTGTCTGAAGAGCGCGGGTGTCCCCCCCCGGCTGCTGTGCTGTGGGAGCAGGATGGAAGGTACCACACTCTCCCTGGCTGGGGCTCCTTAGACCCAACAGCCTTTGGCCAACTCATGAACCAGCAGCCCAGCACACACTCAGTGCTGTGCCCAGCTTCATTTTTTCCAGTGCTGATTGGATTAAATTAACCTGACAAATCAAACAGCCGCTGAGGATGAAACTACCAGAAATAAAACTCTGTGTATTTTTTTAAACAGAGTGAGTTTGGCTGCTCGGGAAGACCTCTTCTGGAGAAAGCCTCTTGCAGCCTGGCCTCGGTTGCCACGGTGGCTAATGGAGGGTGACATTGGCTGGGGGGGTGGCTCTGGTAAAAAGGGACTTTTGGTTCTTAATATTGTGTCCAGAAAAATATTCACTTCTGTTTGCGGGGCTGGTGCTTTTACTTTATCAGCTGATGGTGTGCAGTGCTCCTGGAGAACGAGCTACGCCAGCGTATTTTGGGAAGTTTGCTGGATAAATATATTGACCCTGTCCCCAGAGCTACCTAAAAAGGAAAATAGTAAACCTGATGCTGGGAAATCAGACCAGAATTCTCTACTTCGTAAGTTGCCTGACAGTGCTCTGAAAAATTGGGTTGTGCTTACTTAATTGAGTTTAGTGAAATTATAAGTGAGACCTTCTCTTGCCAAGAGACTTGTCAGCTGAAAAATGAGGGTCCTCTGGCAGAGTGGAGAGGATGGGGACAGCCTGGGCACAGGCAGCTCTGCCCATGTGGGAACAGCTCTAGCAATCACACAAGTGTTCTCATTTTCGGCTGATAATTCTGGGTAGAAACACGATTAGAAGCGTGGAAGGAGCTGGGCAGAACAACTCCTTCCTGAAGTGGAGCAGGAGTTTCTCCTTTAACCTAAAATATGTGAAGAACAGCGTGACCTGCCCTGAGGAGGCTGTTGGCCTCTTTTTTGTTTGAGGGTTTTTTTGCTGCTTTTTGGGTCTGAACTGTAAAATAAATCCAGAGAGAGAGCACTTTGCTTTCTCTGTTTTATTGGATCTGAGTGGATGTAATGCTCATTTATCCGTGCAGAGATGCAGCAAGATGTGCTTGTGGGGTCTTTCAGAAAAGATAACATTGCACTTTCAGGAGTGTTTGTGTTTATGTTTCTCAGTGTTTATTTTCTCAATAGCATATTAGCTTTTGGGATTTGTGGTTTTTTTTATTTGCATGTGTTTTTTGTGTAAAGCTTTGTATGAAAAAGCTTCTGTCTGAGACATGACTAAAAAGACTGAATCTTGACTCCCTGAAAACGATGGGTCTGGCTGGGGGCAGGAGTATTATTAAGATCTATGAAGTCATGAGAGGCATGTCAAGAGGCAGAAGAGAATAATAATTACCTTTTGCCTGTGTCCCAGCCCCAAGAACCAGGCAGTATCAACAGTAAATAGGAGGTAAGAGCTTCGTCACACGTGGGTGGAGGTGGTTCTTCACCTGGTGCCTTGTAGGTCTCTGCTTATTCTTACCTGGATACAGATCAGAGACAGGGTAATAGGTCTGATTCCGTTGTATTTTAAATATCCCAGCTGTTCATATCTTTTATTTTAGCCAATTCTTGCTTTCCTGGATGGACACCCGACATGAGTCCCATAGTATGTTTCTGTATCTCCTAAACATGAGAGGTTATCAGAAATTAACAGGTTGATTACTAAAATATCTGATGATATATATTAGCTCTGTTGGGGAAAGGAGTATTTTGTGAAGGGAATGTGAGGTGTCTGAGGATGGGGAACTGGAGCAGAAAGGCTTGGTGTGTCTCACTGCAGGTGTGTCAGAAGTTATTGCTAGAAGAGAGATTAGGAGGCAACTGAAGCATGTCCAGACATCCCTTGGAAATATAAAACCATCCCCATCGTTGCTTTATGCTCAAATACTGGATTTTGCACTGAAAGAGGGGAGGTGCAGATGAGATGTGGGGAAGAACTTGTTTGGTGTGAGGGTGGTGAGAGCCTGGCCCAGGTTGCCCAGAGAAGCTGTGGCTGCCCCATCCCTGGAGGGGTTCAAGGGCAGGTTGGAGGGGGCTTGGAGCAACCTGGTCTGGTGGGAGGTGTCCCTGCCCAGGGCAGGGGGTGGCACTGGGGGGGCTTTAAGGTCCCTTCCCACCCAAACCAGTCTGTGATTCTGTTGTCTCTGTGGGCAGATTCCATTAATGACCACGCTTCTTGTTTCTGTTCCTGGGAACAATTGACTGAGGTCCCGGTGGCCTCTGCCTGAGGGTCTTCTTCCCCAGCTGACAAGCAAGAATTAAAAACTGTTGGACTTTTGTATCTACACAACACTGACTTTTCCCTTACAAAAGTTTTAAGTGTGTTGATATTTATATGTTAAAAAATATATGGTACCTTTTTGTCTGTTGGGATTTTTTGACTTAAAAACGTGAATGTGAGATACGTAAGTAAAATTCCTGAGTTGCTTTTCAATCCAGCTGTTATACGTACCTGTGAGCCTTTCCTGAGAGATGCTACTTTACACAGGATCAGTTGTAAATACTCCAAGACTATAAGGTGATTAAGTCTGTCTGTAGGTAAGGCTAATCCCGTATGTATATACAAAACAATGCTAGGTGTATTGGAACTGTGAAAAATTTAAGCTTTGGGAGAACTTACCTGACATTACATTAAAAAGAAAACTTCAATTTTTTTCCCCTGTTTTTAATTTGAATAGCTTTTCTTTTGCTTACTGTTAGGGACACTTTAGTGGGAGAACTTACCTAACATTACATTAAAAAGAAAACTTTTTCCCCTGTTTTTAATTTGAATAGCTTTTCTATTGCTTACTGTTAGGGACACTTTAGTGAATCACAGAATCTTCTAGGTTGGAAGGGACCTTAAAGATCATCTTGTCCAACCGTCAACCTAACTGCTCCTTCTATGTCTGTGTGCTGAGTTAATGAGCATTTTTTACTGTCTCCTTTCAATCCCTGCAAAGGCTCTATGTGTCCCCAAGAAAATCTTCTGCTGATCAGAAAACAGACTCACCCCTGAAATGGTGCCGCGAGGTGCTGGGTAACCCCAGTCCCGAGACAGAGGCCGCCTGCCGGACCCTCCTGAACAGACTCGATCAAGGTAATTAAACTCTAAGTGCCTGTCATTTCCCCCTGGGTGCTTTAGTTATTGAGAGGTGTAAGGCGAAGGGGAGGGAGGTTTGGGGTTGCTGTTGGGGGGGGCATCTGCAGAGAGAGCGCTTCAGGTGTGCCCTTGGTGCCTCCTTGCCCAGCCGTGGTTGGCATTGCATAAGAACCTCCCTGCTTTTGGTTTATGCTACAATATATTTTAGTGTTTTCAGCCTCTTCATTATTTTTTTGCTTTAAATATTTGAACATCTTTAATGTAAAAATATGTAGAGGAAAAAATGTGCTTCTGGGGAGCAGGGGAGAGAATCACGTGAAACTATCATTGCAGCCTCTTTCTATATAGGAAGGTCTGGTGTTGCAGAGTGGTTCTAATGGTGGTTATTCAGACCCGATCTTACCATCAGCATTAGTACCTGGGTAAAATAGTTGTCTGATGCTCAGAGCTTACAGTAATGAACCATTAAAATCTGTCATTTGAAGAAACGTTGTCACTCGGAAACCTAGTTTTTCTTCCAGTTTTATCATCCCCTAAAAAAGTGCTTCATGGTGGCTTTCAGCCGTGTTGTTTAACCACGGGGGGGGCATCTCTTACTCACCCTGCCCCAAAGGAAAACTCTACAGAGGCTTCTGTTCAGTACCCAGGTACCACCAGCATCGGCAGCATTCTGGGGTCATAGCTTTGTGGGGTCTATTTTCCTATCTCAGGCTCAGTCCCCTGTTAGCCTTGGACTGATAAAACAGCTGATAGAATAGATGCTTTATTTACTTCATTCCAAAACGAGAAGGTTATTCTGTCTCAGAGTATCTGTAGTACCCCCTGATGCCTGTCCTACCTTTGTCTTTTCAAACGCACTCCAGGTTTGTATGGAAAATGTGTGAGTCCTGGCCTGAATTGCTGATAGCCAAGGCACTGAGGAGTTTGAAGAGAATAAATAACCCTTTTCTGTATTGTACAGCTTTCCAGATCATCCAGCTTCCCTAGGCAGGCAGCTGGGATTCTCCCTGCAGCTGGAGGGATGACTGGTTTCATTATTTTCTTGTGGCAGCTCAGCACTGCAGAGCGTTGCAGAGCAGCACGTGCTGCAAACTCATCTGTCTGCAGTGTTGGAAAAAGGGAAGTTCCTGAGGGAATTAGTGTTTTGGAAGTTCAGGGATGTGCTTAACTGCTGAGAACACAAGCCCTGGTTTGGTACAGAAGTTGTTGGCCACCCGGGGTTTGAATCAGCTCTTTGTCTTCTCTGGGAACGCAGTAATTGTGACTGGAGCTTGACCAGTGATCTGACCTCTGAGAGGCCACTGGTTTGGGTTGGTTTGGGCTTTTTTTTTTTTTTTTAAGTTTACATACTAACAGTGTTTTGGCACCGCTTGTAATCAGGCTTATTTTGCGTTTAGCCTTGAAATTCCTGATTTGAGATAACTGAATGTTGTTTGAGAACAAACTTCATCTATTTCTATAAACCCTCTGTGCCTGAAAATCTGAATGAAGGTTCATTTGATTAACTCTCTGTTTTCTGAAATGTGTCAGGCTTTACTCGTACTCTATCACTCCTTTGTAACTAAAGAACACTTATGTAGTGAATCTTCATTATTTTCTTAGTGTTGTAGCTGCATATTTCCAGCTTCAGTGAGCGTTGATGCACTAAGTTTTGCTACCTGGCTTCTTTTTGATTGTTTCACTAACTCCTATGTGAGTCTGTGTTGAATAAATATTTCAGAATGGTTGGTTTTTGTATTAATTTGCTCTCTTTTAAATCTAAAGGCAGAGCTTTTGTGATTTAATGCTGGTTTGATTCCATCGTTAAAAATTCAAAATAACACCTGTAAACATAAAGGTCAACAGAGTTCTTTAAAGTGAAGATGGGGTGTAGAAGTGACAGATATTTATGAAAGCAGTCATCTGAAACTTTCCGAAACACATGGCTTCTTTAAAGCCCAGTTTGTCAGCAGTTACTCTTGGAATTCTTCAGAAGTGACAAAAGAAATTAAAGGGGAGAGCAAGGGAGGGAACAGGCGCTGCTTGGCTTCCTGCAGCGTGTAACTGACACCCTCGGGATGTCTTATTGGAAATATACCTCTTACAATATTTTTAATCTTGTTTGACCTGATGCCTTTCTTTATCTTATGCTCTTTGTTTTTAAAAATAATTTGCTAACCTTGATGGCTTTTTTGTATTTTTTTCCCTTCTAGCCAGTAGATGGAAAAACCTGTATTGCAGTCCCTTGGCCTCACCGAGCGCCCATAATTTGAATACAGAGACAGGCTCCTGTAGCAATGCACTAAACTCTCCCGGGCATCTCAAATCGACTAACAAAGCACTACTAACCTGTGGCAGCTCAGGTATGGCGTGGCAGTAGAGCAGTGAAACCTCCAGCGTTTAAAATGCAAGGAGAATTAATTACTAATTGACACAGGGAAAAGTTGTCAAGAGACGCAAGTCCAGCCGTGGGGTTTTCTCCTTTTAATTTGCTCGTTTACTCACCCAGGTTTCATCTGTTACATGGGAGAAAACCTCCTTGCATTCTAAATGCCTTATAGTTATTTCATGTTTTCGTTTTTATAGCTTTCTCTCTCTATATTTATAAATTGTACTAATTTTAAGTGACTTAAAATAGAAACCAGCTGTTGGGGCAACGAAAATATTGCTCTTGAGTAACGTTACAGACTGTAGGTTTTCACTTTATAAAGTTACTTGGATTCAGTTTTCTGGCTTGAGAGTTTGTGAAGTCTCTTTAGAAAATACTGATTAATGTACAAAACAGAAAGAAGCCTTGTGCTTTAAGATAAAAGGTGTAGTCTCCAGAATGAGCCTTTAAATTGGCCAAGGGGGCAGCTAAACACGAAATAACAAAAACTTTCCATCAGACTTCATGTGTTTGGAGTAAGATTTCCTACATTGGAGGCAACTTCCACAAATGTCTTGTTCAGAGCCTGTGTTTGCAGGTTTGATAACGAAGCTTCTCCTAAAGGCCTTGGCCTCAAATCTGGTTTGGGCATTTAAATCTGCCCCTGCCCAAGGACTCCACATGGGCTCCCTCAGCACCTTCCATTCTCCTTGGTGCAGTTCGTGCTCACTTTCCCAACACAAATAAAGCCCCTTGGCTTCATTATTAAAGGAGTCTGCCTTGATCTGTTTGGGTTTTGTGGAAATTGCTATATCCTAATGCGCGTGTTTAAAAACATAAAGCATGTCTAACAGTTTCTGACTTGAAACTTGATGTTAAATGAACCCTTTATTTTTTTTTAAGAAAGAAAGTGTTGCCTGTGGATGTTTTCCCAGCTGCAGGTGTGCTTGTGAGATCTGCTGCTTTTCTGCTGTAAATAGAAATTAACGCTTATCTCTGTTTTGCAAACCAAAGGAGGTTTGTAGGACTGATTGGTTTTTGCAAGCTGAATTCTGCAGGAGGAAAATCTCAAAATCAATTTCTTGATTTTAGTATGAGGCTGGTGGGCAGTTCAGGTGGCTCCCCACCTTCTCACACAGGAGCAGTGACTGAGGTGTAAAACCAAAGTGTCTGGAGAAGCTCTGGACGCCTTGGTTCACTCTGAAATCTGCTGAGGCTGTCAAGGGGAGCGAATAAAAGGCCAGGTCTGTGTAGGATTAGGTGGGAGAGTTCACTCAGCTCTTGGTGGCTCTTCCTGTGTGACTCGTTTAAGTGCTAACGTGAGTTTAAAGTTCACTGTCAACTTGATTGACTTGAATCTAATGTTATTTCTAAGAAAAATGGAGCTTCACTGCAGTTCAAATGAAGAATGTGTAACAGTAACTTCCTTTAAAATCTAAACAAAACCCCTTTTACAGAATCCAGATGTGGAATATTTTGAAGTTTCTATCGTGAAAACCAAAACAAGCTCATCTTGCAGTGTTGAACCACAACAGTTTTTACTGAGGAAAGGATGTAAATGTTTTTCTTCCTCTCCTTGACTGTTTCTAAACAGACCTGCGATTTGAAATGCACCAACCAAACTGAACACGCACATTGAACTGGGAACTTTGCTTTTTAAAAAGCTGTATTCAAGATACAGCTGCATTAAAAATACAGCTTTTAGTGTTAGAGAAGGTGTTAGTTACAGCAGGAAACCTCTGCTTGTTCGTTATACTGCGTCCTGCAGGTGCAATCCCTACTCTCATGTTGGCTTTATTTATTTCAACTGCTTCCAACCTCTTTTCCTGACACCAGAAGGGATTTTTTACACAGCCCTGCAGCTCTGGAGCTGGAGTAGCTTGAGGTGGGGTGTGTATTTGTGTAACACACACAAACCCCTGGTACTACAGTCACACTTCTCTCACTGTGCTGTGTCAGCATCTTGGGACTGGTACCACTTTGTGCTTTCTCAGATGGGAATTTGAGGCTTATTGGTACAAATTATTTTGCTCAATGTCCACGTAAGAAGTTTGTTTTACGCCTGGACTTCAAACTTGTGTTTTCTGTGTCATCAGTCACTGCTCTTCAAAACTGGTTGAAGAAATAACATTGGGAACCTGCTGCTTTTTCCTGCCTGGTCGGAATTAACCCTTGTTGGAAAGGGTTGCTCAGCAATGGGTTGTTTGTTGTTTTTTTTTTTCCCCGAGAACAGGCAGAATGTTTATTTTTGATGTCATTGTTGAGAATTACTCCATAAGTGAACAGCCTTCAAGACTTCTTAGAATGCAGCAGGCAAAACTGTGTGAGCTCAAGTAGAAGTCAGTGGTGAACGACATCGCAGCGATGCTTTGGAGGACGACTTAAATTCTTGATTTGTTGGCCGGTGTGCTACAGCTACTTGTTGCTTTTTATTTCAGTGATGATCTGGGATCCCTGCTGGGCAGGATTTGTGTGTGTTAAGCCTGCTCTAGCTGCAAGTGGTGTTAAGTGCTCTCAGGCTCTTGTGTATCTACTGGCTTTGTCTGATCTTCTGTCAGACTGTGGCTTTTAATTTTCTTTTTTGGTGGGTCTAAATCTATATAGTACTAATTGCAATCCTTGGAATTACTTTAAGGTAATGATGTACTCTGTCCTGAAATAGCTTTGTGTTATACGGTCTTAAATGGTTAATTATGCTAGGAGGATGTGAAGGTATTTTGTAACAGGAGGCACAGATAAGCGTGTTTGCCGTGCAGAGGTTTCACGTTCACTAATCCTTCTGTGTTTCCAAAAATTTTTCAATCAATGGGGTTTTTGGTTTGGGTTTATTATTATTTTTTTGGTGGTGTGGTTTTTGGTTTTTTGTTTGTGCATTTTTTAACACAAAGCAGTATGGTAGTTACATGATATGAAAGGAGATGCCCAGCATTGTGTGCTGTCTCTCAAAGATGCTGCCCTCAGCCAAAGGGAAGGTTGAGGGAACGGTACCAAAATTCTCTGGTTGTTGCCTGCATCTGCCTCCCCCTGCAGATGGAGATCCCCTCTCTGCGAGGTGCTGCTCAGCCTCCTGCAGCAACACTCACCCCAGGTGCCAGGGAGAGGGAGCCCAAGGCAGTTGTGACACCACATTTCTTCGGGGGGCCACTAAAAGCCTCCCACATTTAAATGACAGGTACCAGTGTAGTCCCAGGGCCACACGGCCTGTTCCCTATTTCAGGAGCAAGTAGGAGTACTCGTGCCATGGGAAATACTGACTTGCTTTACTGAGAAAAAGTACTAACACGTAAAAGTTCACATTTAGTGATGATTATTATGATACTTTTATTTTTATTATTATTATTCAAAAGGAAGATTATTTGTTCCTAATGCCTGACATCATATGGGAAGACTTCCCTGGTGGAAAGATCCTTCCAGTTTGTTTTTTATGCCCTGCTGTATGATAATCTGGGAGAGAGAGTTTGGTTTATGATGAGAGGGGAAAAAAAAAAAGGTGGATAAAGCTCAGGAATGGGTAGGAGGTTTCTAGTGCAAATGCTACTTTGCATAAGCAGGTTGCGTGGCTGATTTTTGCAGTTCTTTACTCAGAAAGCCATTTGGACCCTTTTGTTCCTCTGGCTGCTCACCAGCACCCCAAGAGCACTTGGTGTAACTTTGCTTAATATCTAGGTCAATAGTTATCCCTATATCAAACTAGGCAGAAATAATACCGATCTTTAAAAGTATGTTTTTAAGCTCAAAATTACCAGGCATCCCTTTGCCACCTTCTGGACAGAAATCCACAGTTTTCTCCCCACACACAAATACCCTCTGCCTCCTGAAAACTCCGGGTTAAAATACTGAGCATCGTGTTCTCAAGTAATTTCTAACTCGATTATTTCTAGCAACCACATTTCCACTTCACAACTGATTTTATTACTGGAATAGATGCTGCTCGTTCTTGGGTTGTGCCTGGATGTCTGAGTGCTGTTTATGTTCCTCCTCTTCCCCCCCAAGGTTACCTGAGCATGCACTCTGCGCTGAGCTCCCAGTCGTCGGTGGACAGCGAGCTCAGCACCTCCGACGACTCCATCTCCATGGGCTATAAACTCCAGGACCTGACGGATGTCCAGGTGATGGCACGCCTTCAGGAAGAAAGTAGGTGGCACCCATCTCCTTTGTGTGATGGTTTTTGAATTGTAGAGGAATGTAGATGGGTTCCAACCATTCTTCTCTTCCCCTTTCCCCAGCAGGAAAATAATTTAATAGATCATTAGAAATGTTTGTGGTTTGCAGGGGCTTCCTTCAAAAATCTGCAGACCCAAGCAGTTGTGTAACATTCTCCAGGTTACACTTCTTAAAGCAGAGCATCATCTTGAAAGTACTATTCAAAACCCCGCTTTGTTAAATACGTAAGCCCCCCTTGATATTCAAAAATACCTTACAGCTCCTTGTGTATGGGACGTGAGGAGTAATTCAGGTCAATTGGAATATTAACTCTTTGCTCTAATTAAACAGTACTGATGTGGGTGACACTGTTCCAGTTAGAGTCATAGAATAGAATCATAGAATCATTGAGGTTGGAAGAGACCCTTGGGATCATCGAGTCCAACCATCTCCCCTACTCTACAAAGTCCTCCCCTACACCATGTCCCTCAGCACTGCATCTAAACGGCCCTTAAACACATCCAGGGATGGGGACTCCACCCCCTCCCTGGGCAGCCTGTTCCAACGCCCGACCACTCTTTCGGTGAAAAATTCCTTCCTAAAAGAGAGTTCAGAGATTCCATAAGCTGTGAGTGTCTTCAATAAAGAGAGTTATTAACTTCTTGTCCAAGTTGAAATGAATCGCTGATAAAATCATTGCTTCTGGATTTGTGTTGTAACTGGGTAAGGAATTTCTGTTTCCAAGTAGGATGACTGAGCCCTGTCCCCCCCTGTCCCCAGGCCTCCGTCAGGACTGTGCCTCCAGCTCTGCCTCGGTGTCCCGTCGCAGTTCCAGCGCCTCCCTTCACTCCCTGCGACGAGGGACCTACAGCGACCAGGAGTTCGACACCTACAGCCTGGAGGATGAGGATGACTATGACTGCTCCCTGTCGTACCGCAGCGCCCACAGATACTCCCCGTCCCCGCTCAGCTCCCCCCGGTGTCAGTCCCCTTCCTCCACCGCCGATTACGGCAGGTCCTCGGCGTCCCGCATCCGTCCCCCCCGGAGGTCGGTGCAGAGCCCCATGCAGGACAGGCTCAAGTATGGGAACAGTGAAGGTGAGCTCCTTGTGAGCTTTTGGTAGAAGTTGATGGAAAGAATTGTCATGGAATAGTCACAGACTGGTTTGGGTGGGAAGGGACCTCAAAGCCCCCCCAGTGCCACCCCCTGCCCTGGGCAGGGACACCTCCCACCACACCAGGTTGCTCCAAGCCCCCTCCAACCTGCCCTTGAACCCCTCCAGGGATGGGGCAGCCACAGCTTCTCTGGGCAACCTGGGCCAGGCTCTCACCACCCTCCCACCAAACAAGTCCTTCCCCACATCTCAGCTCCATCTCCCCTCTTTCAGTGTCAAACCCTTCCCCCTCCTCCTATTGCTACACGCCCTTCCAAAAACTGTTGTTATTTAATAGAAGCTAAGAATTAGTTACACCCTGTCTACTTTTAAACCCCTGTGTTTTTCAAGAGCTGGTCTGTCTCGTTACACATCTCCATTGCTACCAGAATCAGCAAATAAGAGAATCTGCTCTCCATTTCAGAGGAGCTGCGCCACAGCATGCCCAACCTGGCCAGGACCAGCCTCCGAGCTCTGGAGTCCGTACGGAGCAGTCGGAGCTTGGAGTCTGACCTGCAGGTGCCCAACAGTCGAATTCCACGCACTCAGCAACGCTCAGGAGGTCAGTGCCATGTCCCCTACACACACCACTGTAGGTGATTTCCTTGCCAAGGCCCTCAAAAGGCCCAGTATCCTGAAGTGTTCTTAAAATCCTGTTGCCAACTCTTTCCTTGGTTGTTCCATTTCTAGGTCTAGCTCCCAGTAAGCTCAGGTATCCCTCCAGTGCTGGCCAGTCTCCCTTAACTGTGCGACAGCCGCTGAAAGCAGGGTCGTGCACAAACTCTCTGTTAACGCCCAGGCAGCCTGTCAAAGCCTGCACCTACACAAACCCCGTGAGTGGAGTCCGAAAACCACCGGCGTCTTCCCTCGGCACCGGCTCTTCCAGCAGCAGTTGTGCTGCCAGGGGCAGTAACGTGGGCACTGGGGCAAAAAATCCACCCATGAAAGCACGTGCGTCTCTTGGAGGAATCTCAGTGCCCAAGAACAAGCCAACACCACCATCCAAGAGGTAGGTGTGGGGCAGATTTGAACGTCTGCCTTCATTTCACAGACTAGAAACACGTTTTTGTACAGTGAGATTCATCTCTGGTTTTAAAATATGAGATGAGCATAGAATTGGGTCAGAGCTACTGGTCAACTTTCAGGTTTTTCCCTGAAAGAAGGGGTAGTATTTAGTGGGAAGGTCCCTGGACGTTGAGTACTTTGCCCCCAGCCGAGGAGCAAAGGGTTGCAATTCCTGTAAAACCCACTAAAATTAAATTCTGTGGGTTTGTGTGAACTGGCAGGTTGGGAATCAGCAGCTTCTGGGAGAGATTCCCCCTTTTAACTGTGTCATCTGTGACCAAACCACTCAATAGTTCAGTATTCCATCTGTTTAAAAAAAAACAAGTGCTTTTTTAAAACAAAACTAATTATCCAGGGAAATGAAGAGGCGTAAGCTCAAACTTAGTTCTGTAGGAAAGGAACGTCAGGGCACACGTTCCTTGGGTGCCTGCATCTGTTCTCTGGAAGGGGAAAAACTCCTCCAAAGGACTAATAAACCCTCTTTACTATGAATACCATCTTCCCGGATGACCTGCTGTGGTGCTGCTGGAACTTTGCTCCTGGTAAAATAAGTTGGGTGGGTTTTTTTTCTTCCTTAGTCTTTAGTTAGGGCCCCAGGTGGGCGTTGTCCGGGGCATAAGGAGTTTATAAAGGGTTTGAAAAGTAGGACAAAGCAATAAGTACTTGTGGATTTTTAATGTCCTCTTGTAGCCTTCAATAAATTGAACTGTGTCTACTTTAAAAAAAATACTCAAAAAGTGAATATTTCAACTCTTAATTTTAGTAGTACTCTCCGTAGCACCTGCTGATTTTTCATGTGTTTAGTCCCATTTGCAGAGAGGATGATTGCTCTTGGACTTAGTCGTGGGGCAACTCCACAACAGTGTTAATAACTTAACATAGCTGGAGAAATATGTCCCTGTTTAGGTACCCAGTGACAGTCACTTAATTTCTCTAAACTGCCCAAAATTGCTGGTGTGTGGGGCACGTGAGCTGTGGAGGTGTGACTGCAGCAGCTGTCCCAAGGCAGGCAGATGTTGAGATTGTCCAAAGCCAGATGTTGCAAAAGCCCAGTGTGAACTAAAGCCTCAGACAAGGAAAGGAGGCTGAGGGGAGACCTTCGTGCTCCCTCCAACTCCCTGAAAGGAGGGGGTAGCCAGGGGGGGTCGGTCTCTGCTCCCAAGGAACAGGTGATGGGACAAGAGGAAACAGCCTCAGTTTGTGCCACGGGAGGTTGAGGATGGATGTTAGAAGAAATTTCTTCATGGAAGGGGCTGTGAAGCCTTGGCAGAGGCTGCCCAGGGCAGTGGTGGAGTCCCCATCCCTGGAGGTGTTCAAAAGCCGGGCAGACGTGGTGCTGAGGGACGTGGGTCAGGGGTGGGTTGTCAGTGTTGGGTTGATGGTTGGATTTGGTGATCTGAAAGGTCCCTTCCATCCAACATGACTCTATGATTCCTGTGTACATTGACAATTTACTGAGGACTTTGCTGCTTTTAGCTCTCAGTGATGTTTTTTGGGGGTTTTTTTTTCTGTCTTTCAACCCAGATTCCTTCAGTCAGCCCAGGCTGCTGAGGATGATTCCTGGAAGGATGGGTGTTACTGACCCCCCAACCGGCTGCCAAACCATCTGGAGCAGACCCCCAGCGGGCTGGGTGGTACTGGGACCTGGAGAGCCCCCCTGTGCTGCAGACGCTGCTGTACATAGCTCCTCTCCTGAATCCAAACTGCCCTCACCTTCCCCTCTCCTGCCACAGCCCCATCTCTCCACAGTGCAACAGCCACCTGCTTCACCGGGCTCCCTCTCCTCAAAACAGCACCGAAACCAGCCTTCGCCTCAAGACCGAAAATAGCCTTATTTCATACAGACCTCTGCTCGCAGCCCTTTGGAAGTTTTGGCACAAAAAAAGACTTTTTAGGTGACCTGCTCTTGAGGACGCTCACGGAAAAAGGCTGCTGTTGAGCTGTGTGTGCCCGAGGGCGGCTTCAGGGCGTCACACAGCAGGGGCTGGGGGAGCCTAGAAATAGTTCCATAGATGGTAGAAATGAGACTTTATAAATTCAACCTGACCTACTCTAATATTTGTCTGAAACTCAACTGTTTGGTTATGGTTTGGTTGGTTTGTTTTTTTTTTTCTAACTTCTGTATAGAATGTATTTCTGCTATTTTTATTGTTTGTTCTAGAAGAAGAAGCAGGTTTTTATAACTGTCGTCCACTTCAAGCCGTCGTGTCCGAGCGCGTGTCACGTTCACAGGTGAAGGAGCAGTGCACAACATTTGTGTGGGCTTGGGACCAGCCAGGGACAGGAGATGCTGCTGAAACACTGCTGTTCCTCAGCATCTTCATATTTCCCATGAGGAAGTTTACAAACACCAGTTAAAAGTCAACTTTTTAATAGTAACCCTCCCTGATCTGACTTGAAGTGTTTCCCCTGGATCTCTTTTCAGGTAACCCCAAACTGCCCTCATTTTTGTAGAAGTTTTCTACTGCCTCTTCAGCCACGAAGGATTCTGTCTTAGGGTCCTTCTCCTCAGCGAGTGCTGGATGCTACAAATACACTCCGAGTACAGGAACCATGCACTGATAGCAATGTTCTGCTGCCATCAATGTGATTTTGATAGTGTAGTTTAATAAAATGTTCTGGTGCTGAAATAGATCTGCTTTATTCGAACTGTGAGCCTGACTTGTGAGTGGTTTTTGTGCTGGGAATGAGGCTTTTCAGGACCTGCCCCTGCACAGGTCACCAGGGCTCTAGAGGACGTCCCTTAGGATAGAAGTATTGATATTTACCCTTTAGTCTCCTGGGGTTTCATAAGAATGAAAGGATAAGAATTAACTTAGTTCACATCTTTTCTAGGAGAACATCCATCTGCAAGTGGCCTGAGCAGAATGAAATGTGGAAAACGCCACTTGCCACTGGGAAGGATCTCTTTACAGCAGAGGTCACTCACTGCATCAAGTTTGCTTTAGAGAGGAGGAAAAAAGAGGACGAGGCAGGTGGGATCAAGGTGCTGTTTCAGAGGAGCTCGTGTGTATGGTCCTGGATCACCCCATCATTGCACAGAGGATGGTGCCAGCGCAGGACTATGTGAGTCTGACTCTTCTCAGCCCCCAGGGCAGGAGAAGCCACCCCACAACAGCAGCTGTGACACCAAGGCTGGGTTTGTCACCTCCAGCAGCTGTAAGGTATTAACTGAAAGGCAGCAGTCTAATGAATTTCAGTGTTTTACTATAAACTTCTTCAGGTACCACTGTGTACCATTATTTCCCATATTATAACCTCTTCTACTTTAGAGCAGCTTTGTGAATCTCAGAGCAGGTTCTACCTCGCTGAAAGCTTGTTAGGAGCAGTGAGAGGAGACCCCCTGAAACTCTGCTTTCTGTACAGGAATTTTATTTAAATCAAGTTAACTTTGTTTTTACACTAATGCCTCAGTGCATCCTTTAAAAGGAAAGGAAGTCATTTTCTTTTTAAAAAGTATTTGTACATAAGACAACAAATGATAGAAATGAACACGGTAACATCACCAACCCCTAAAACATGCACAGTTGGACGCGGAGCTGCGGGCAGCTGGAGGAGCGGGAGGAAGAGGAGGGACAAATCTGTCTCTGAGCTTTATATTCCATTACCTCAAATGGAAAGCAGTGACCACAGCACTGGTCAGACCCTGGAGACTCCGGATATTGAGGTCCCAGTGCCCTCAGTTAAGAAGACGAATCCAAAGGAACATGCAAGTTCAGAGGAGAACCCTTTATCTGGCCGTCAGGGGAACGATCACCGGGAAGAGGCGGAGGAGGAACTGTGGCACCAACAGAGTGCTGGACCCTTCCCATCCCTCCAGCCTCCTCCTGCCCTTGGGAGCCACCTCCCCGGGCCAAGAAGATGCCCCTTCCTTTGAAGCCTGTCTGATGCTTCTGGGAGATTTCAGTTGTCTCCGTTTCTCTTGGAAATGAGCCTAGAACTGAGCCAGACTCCCCTTCTCCCCTCACCCCCAGCCTGGCTGAGGACTCGGGTGTCTGGCTGGGACAGAAGCAGCCTCCACAGCTTCCCAGAGCAGGGAAAGCCACCCCTGTCCCCCAGAGCAGCAGTGCCCCTCACCTTACATTTGGTTATTAGCCTCAGGTTTGGCTTTGCTTTGTTGGTTTTTTTTTTCTCCTTTTTGGAGGAGCCCCTGTCACTGCCTCCTCAGGAAGAGCCCTTCTTCTCCAGCCCCCAGAGGAAGCAGCTCCTCCCTCAGCTCCAGCCGCCCATCCCTCCTCCGGCCCCGCTTTCAGCACACACCTTCAGCACAGCAGCACAAGCAGCAGCTCCCTGACACCTCATCAAGCCAGATCGACAGATTGGCCCCCAATTTCACCTTAAACATCAGTTACTCATTTTAGTCCACCCTCGAAAGAAGAACAGGAGAAATAACACGTGAGAAAGCAGATACGTTACCGCAACCTTCACTCTCTGCAACCACCTCCTTTACTGGATTCATTTAGCCACAAATTAAGGAAAAGGGATGAGGAAGAAGTGAGGATGAAGAGGCAGCTGTTCCAAAATGCTGGGGGTGACCCTACACCCTTCTCCTACCCCCTCAGAGACACCTCCAGGAGATTTGGTAGAGAAGCAGCACCCACCCCTTCCAGTGCACAAAGCCCCCACCCAAAAGCCCTTCTTCTCCTTACTCCCAGTGTCACACCCACAGCCCCTCCATGGGTTCAGGTGTGCTGAAAATGCTGGGGGTGACACTACACCCTTCTCCTACCCCCTCAGAGACACCTCCAGGAGATTTGGTAGAGAAGCAGCACCCACCCCTTCCAGTGCACAAAGCCCCCACCCAAAAGCCCTTCTTCTCCTTACTCCCAGTGTCACACCCACAGCCCCTCCGTGTCCAAACCCACGGAGCCACAAGGGGTTCAGATGTGCCAGGAGAGGCACCTGCAGCTCCACAATTTGTACAAAGTGGAAATTTGCACCCACCCGTCTTGTCCCTCCACCATTTGTCTGGCTCAGCCCCCCCTGAGCCCCCCTCAATGCAGGACAGTCCCTGGCAGTGCTCTTCTCCCTTGCACGCCCACGTGAAAGTGCAAAGCTACACGGGCGAGCAGGCACGGAACCCTCCACAGCTGGAAGGGTGTAGTTGGGACAGGAAAAGAAACCAAAAAAATATATAAAATAATAAATCCCTTCAAGTAATTTAAACCAGCCCATTCTCAAGGTTCTGCACAGAAGCAGGGACCGGCTGGGCCTGTTTGGGGTGATAAGGCAAAAGGAGTCTGAAGTCCTGGAGGGATGGGAGAATGAGGAGGTGTCAGTAGTGAGAGATGAGGAGTTATTTCTGGAGGTTGCTTCTTCCCTCTCCTGCCATTCTCGTCTCCAAGTGACCAGCACCAGCCGCCCCCGGTTACGTCTACACGCAGCTGGGCCACGCCAGCCCCCCACACACCGTCGACAGGATGATGTAGAGGATCACCTGGGGAAAGGACACGGCCCAGAATTACACCTCCATCACTCCGACAGCTCCTCACCCACCCTGACCATCAGACCAGGGAGCCCCAAGTCATCAAACCCCCAAATAACGTGTCAAACCCCTCTTCCTCCCCATCCCCGCAGCAGCCTGGGGGTGAGAACTAGCCTCTGGCAAACACAAACCAGGGTTCAGTGGTGCCAAAGTGCTTCCCAAATCCCACCTGCAGTCACCTTCAGCACTGCCTGCATTTACTACAGGCTGCAGGTACACTGTCACGGCCAGAAAAGCTACTTCAGAGTTAATTAACGAGACACCAACAGGGCAAAGGCGATACCTTTGCTTGTAATGGAGCTGGCGAGGCAGCACTCGGAAGCCAAACAGAATTCTTGAGGCTTTTGCGACTGCCTTGACAAGAAAAGCTGCCTGGCACGATGCTCCGCTCTCATTCCTCACACACAACCATCAAAACACCCATTTTACAGCTTCCAGGCACGGGGTGGGGAACACAGCAATGGCATTTTGTGGTGGTTGATGCCCAATTTAAGAGCTAGAGGTTATCGTGCCCCACACTTACAATTGCTACGATGACGATGATGATGGTCAGCTTGAGGTTCTTCATACACATGGCTCTGGCAAGGTTCCTGCTGGTAGTTTTGAACGTGACTGACTACAAGAGACAGTAAAACAACTAATTAATTCCTGAACCTGCTGCAGGGGAAGCTGCACCCCAAGAAACCAGATGAAGAGGCTTTTCCCAGCTCCTACCTCCCCAGTAACCCAGCTCCCACCTCCCCAGTAACCCAGCTCCCTGTCGTTAGCTCCTCCAGAGCCATTTCACTCCTGCAGTTACAGCTTCAGGGGTAAGAGAAAGTGTCAGAGCAAGTCCAGGACCAGCTCAGGAGAACCAAACACAGAACCCCCGGCTGCCCACAAGGATCACTTTACCCTGGAGTGCTTCTGCTTGAGTTCTCCTTTGACTCCCAGCCTTCTGGGAATTGAAATGCAGCAAAATATTTATGGAATGACTGATCTAATCACCAACGTATTAAAAGCAGCGTTTCTCCTGTAAATACACCTGCCAAAGTGATTCAGCTCGTGGTGCTCCTCGAGGCAATGCTAAAAATCCTTTAATGCCACAACTTTCCTGTCCCTGCCTGGCTCAGCGGAGGGTGTTCCTGCAGCACTCAACAAGCCAAGGCAGCAGCACACTCTGCTGGTTATTTACAGCTTTTCCCCACAAACCACCCCGGGTTTTTTCCAGGGGAGGCTACACCAGGCAGAACCGCATCCCTCTGAGCTGCAATTTTGATTTAAAGCCGATTCCTGTGCTCAGCCACCACCCGGAGGTCGGGAATGCTTCTCCCCACCACCTGAGGAAGGGGTGAGGTTTAAAGCCCTGGAAGCTGGAGGACGATACTCCCTGCTGGGTAAGCTCCCAGCATCTCTGCTATCTCTCTAAAACGTGACTACTTTTTGCCAGCTTTGAGATGTTTGTATCTCTGGAATCCGAACAGGAGGTACTGGGACTCCACTGGGCTGAGGGCTGAATGCTGGGGATGAACTGGGGACCAGCCAGGACCCTGCAGAGGAAGATGCTGAGCCAGGTCCAGAGATCCCCAGAGGAAAGACAAAAAAGCTTCCAGAGCACACACCACTCTGCTGGAGAACATAATGCTTTATGATTACATCAACACACTATTTCCCCATTTCCCAGTTCCTCCCCAGACTTACCGAATCCACCAGGTTCTCCGTTTTATCGATCAGCAACTCCAGCTTCTCTCCTCTTTGTGCCACGAGGTCTGGAGAAAGAGACACAAATCCAGCTCTGTAGGTAGAATCCCCCCAGCACAAAAAGCTGCTTCCTCTCCCCAAACCCAACTGCGGGCAGGACCTCGCGGCTCCTGAGACACCAAATGGGTCTCAGCCCTTTCAGAGATTGCCAGGAACAGCCTCACATCACACAGGCTACGGTTTGGTACTGACCTGACTCAATTTTGGTCAATTTTAAGTGGTCAGACTTGTCAAAACACAGAGTCTGACACACCAAAAAAAGCAACTAAAGCTACCAAGGAGCATTTTCCTCAGAGCAGCTGTCTCCCCAAACCCAACTGCGGGCAGGACCTCACGGCTCATGAGACATCAAGTGGGTCTCAGCCCTTTCAGAGATTGCCAGAACAGCCTCACATCACACAGGCTACGATTCAGAACTGACCTGACACAATTTTGATCAATTCTGGATCTAACCCTCTGTTTTAAGTGGTCAGGAAAAGGCAGAGCAACAAAGGGACCACATCCAGAGGATGCTTCACCCCACCACATGTTCATCTCGAAAGTGTTCCTCACGCCCAAAGGCCACCTCAACTGAGTTCTGCACAAGTAAGAGCTTCCAAACTTAGGGCTCTCCAGCCCCCTCTTCACCAGAGGTCCCCCCCCTGCAGCTCTGCCCCCCAGCCCTCTCCCTCCCTGCCCCGAGGAGGGGGAGGCAGGTACCGATGTTCCGGACCATGATTCCTTTCAGCTCATCGATCTGAGCTTGTGTCTCTGCCACCTGGTCGCTGCCCTTGCTCTCCGAGTGGTGTTTCTGTAACAAACAAACAGTCAGTGAAAAAGGGAACCCCCAACGTCACACTTCAGCTCCTTAACACAAAAAAGAAAAGGAAACTCGTGGTCACTACAGAACAGCAGAGACACAAATGTGAGTTTTTAAGTTACCCGAGACATTGATAAGTGGGTAGGAGACAAAAATCTGATTTTCTCAGCCATTTACAGCTCTCAGCAGGAGCCCAGCTACTCCTGCACTGCGAGAGCTGCAAAGTGCCCCCAACTTCCACGTTTTCAGCCATTTACAGCTCTCAGCAGGAGCCCATCTGCTCCTGCACTGTGAGAGCTGCAAAGTGCCCCCAATGTCCAGGGTTTTTTTCCCCATTATTTGCTACACTTGAGTTGTAGCACGATCTCTGGGCTGCCACAATCTCTTCCTCCACCCTCAGCTTCACCCCAGTCAAACTCCACAAGTTTCTGGAATCACCGGGATAACGGTCCCGCTCCTGCTCTGTGTGCAGGGTGGGATCAGTGAGACTCCTGTCTCAGCAACATTTAGAGCCATTTCAGGCAAAAACTTTGTGTCATCTCTTAAATTCTATGAGCTGACGCCTGGATTTCTATCCATATGCAAAAGCCAAGGCCAGCAGCTCCTCCTGTGCTTTGGAGAAATGGGATTTTGAGAGGAATATCAACACCCCGGCTCTGAGCACAGCCTGGCTCTTCTGATAAGGCAATTCATTAAGCTCATTCCAGGAATGAACAGCTCATGATTTGATGAGTCATCACTTTACATGGATTCGGTCTCCGTGTATCAAAGCCTGGTGGGGAGGAAGAACTCGGTCCTATCAGCCCTAGAAGTTAATCTCATTCATTATGCACAACGTGCTGGGCCCTTCTGGACCCACATCAGTGTTATTATTCAGTGCTGCTGATCTGCCCCAGAACCCACACACCCACATCAGTGTTATTATTCAGTGCTGCTGATCTGCCCCATAACCCACAGAAGGATTTCTGCAATGAACTATGAGCAGCTCTACACACTCCAAATCACAACTGAGGCCACCAAACCACCCCTGCTGGCCACCACAGGGCCACCAAACCACCCCTGTTGGCCACCACAGGGCCACAGACACAAGTGGCTCCTTTCACCAACTCTGATACAAACAGAGGGAAGAGCTGCTCTCGTGGGTCACCAAAGGACCTCTCCTCCTGTAGGACCCCCAAAGCTGGCACTTGCAGGAGATCAGCAGGGAGAAAGCCAAGCCCTTCATGGAGAACAGCCACAGCCAAGTGAGACCCTCCAGTGCCAGGTGGTTGTGGTTGCCCCAGACACAGATTATCTACAAACCCTGGAAGCCTGTATTCCAGAAACATCTTCCCTTTAATTCAAGGGAGGTCTCAAAAAAGCCCCCAAAACAGAAACAACATTGCTCAAGTTATGAAGTTGTTTGCAGTCACTTAAGGACTGTCTTCCACAGAAGACTCAAACCACTTTCCTTGCAGCCCATAGAGCCCAGGGCTTTGTGTGCTAATAAGGCTATTTATGAAGTTGTTTGCAGTCACTTAAGGACTCTTTCTTAAGAGTCTTCCACAGAAGATTTAAACCACTCTCCTTACAGCCCATAGAGCCTGGGGCTTTGTGTGCTAATAAGGCTATTGATCACATGAGTCAGGGGGCAGTTATTTATTCCTTCTCCATTTTCCACCTGATTTCAGTCACTTAATTTGACGGTACATCTCAAAAGAGTCCTGTGGTCTCCTCAGGCCTGTTTTCTCTTACCCAAACAATGGGGAGAGGTGCAAAATGCAACGTTCTCTCTACATTAACAACCCTTTTTACATGGAAGCAGTGAAGTGACCCAGCTGCAGAGAGACCAGCCAGCTCCCCCCGCTTTATACCCAGGCTTGGCACATCAGTTTGGGTGAAAAAACACAAGGAGAAATTCTGGGGAGAAGTTTTGCTCTTTAAGGGAGATATGGTTTAGCAAGAGATCTCACCAGCTGCGCGGCCAAGACGCTGGAGAACTCGCTGTTCATGGCGTAGGGAAGGGCGGTCTGTGCCCTCGAGCCGTAGGTGGTCTGGAACCTCTTCTTGATTTCATTCAGGAAGTTGAAGGCTCGGGATCGTTCGAAGTCCTGGAGGGAAGAGAAGAGACCACGTCCAGAGCTGTGTCAAGGCAGGAATAACAAAGCACATGGGGCACATCGCCAGCTGCAGAGAAACTGTAATTATCAGTTCTTAATGGGCACAGCACGATGAGGTTTGATTTCGAAGTCCTGGAGGGAAGAGAAGAGACCACGTCCAGAGCTGTGTCAAGGCAGGAATAACAAAGCACACAGGGCACATTGCCAGCTGCAGAGAAACTGTAATTATCAGCTCTTAATGGGCACAGCACCATGGGGTTATCCTGGGGTTTGAACAGCAGCCAGATTTCAGCCCCAGCCTCCAGGACACTGGGTGGCAGCAGATTTTACTGGGGGATCCATTATTTCTGTGCCTGGTGCCTTTTTCCAGTGAGGGAGAAGTTTTTGCTTCAGCACTTTGAGAATCGAGGAGTATTATGAATATTTCCCTGACAATTACAGGCTGGTCATTACATCTAGTTCTACTGCACTGGGAGAAAAACCAGGCAAAAACATGAACTTAACCTCAAAACTAACTATTCACATGCATTTGAGTTCCAGGCTTAGACTTCAAAGCTGGAACTGATGGGAGTGAGAAGAGAAGCTGTAGCTCCAATGGGGGGAAAAAAGGCACCTCTGATTAGCCCCCACCATTGACTTTCTTTGACAAAGAAAGGCAAATCCTGCAAACAGCCTGTCTGGGCAGGAGCTGGAACCAAAACACTTACATCGTCTGTGATGCAGAGGTATATAATCCTGTCTTGGCAGATGTAATGGAACAGATAACTGCAGAGGAGAAAAAAGAAAAGAAAAAAAAAATCGGGTCATTTGGAGCTGCCACAGGACTAAGCTTCTAGAAGACACTGCCTGTGGGGCCTTCAGGGCTGGAGAAGAACAAATTCCAGTCATTCTGCAGGAAATCACACAGGGGAGGGCGTATCCCAGCCCTCTGGGTTGAGGTGTCTCCCATGCTGAATTAGGAACCCCCCAGATGTTACAGAAGCCCTGGCCTCACACACTTCACAGCAGTCGCTTTGTGCTGAAACCACCTCAGTTCCACCTTCTTCCTGCCACTTACTCCTAAAAACAAAACCCTGAGAGGGCACCCGGGGGTGAGATTTAGGTCTAATCCTTATCAGTGTGCATACGAGCATCGTTCACACACAACAAGAGCTGCATTTATCTGGATTCACCAGAAAAACACTACTTTTGTGAACCTCGCTGGTGGTGACCTGCTGCTTTGGCCTCGTTTGTCCAAACACCAGGTTGCGCTGCCTTGGTTTTCATCCCAAAGAGACACAGAAGCCACCACAGCAGAAATGAATTAGAAAGAACAATGATCAGGCTGAACAGGCTTGAATCGCGTGGCGAGGTTAAACACAGCCCTCAGTAGCCTGAAAAACAGCACAAACCAGTTCAAAGCAAGATTTCCCTACCAAAAATGATCCCAGCTGTTATTTTAGGCCCACCAGAAAAAAAAAAGACCCTTAGTTTGTACACAACTGAACCCAAACCAGAGCTGCTCAGAGCCTTCCAGTTCAATCCACTGCCTTTAGCTGTTGCTTTTTTATTATGTTGTCCCATCACCACCAGCTGGGTGCTGTGTTCTGCTGGTGAGCACAGACTGGATTTGTGGTGGCTCAGGATGATCCTACAACATCTGCCAGCGCGACTTAAAGCAACCAGGATCTGCAAGTGATCTGAGAACGATGACATTTTTACCTAAAGCCACATTGAAGCCACAGAAAAGCCAACAAAAGCCTCCACAAGCCAAATACCAAGGACTCCAACAGCTCAATATCCAGAGCTGAGCACCTGCCACTTTGGAGTCATATAAAAATAGAAAACTTGATTTTATATCAACTGCCTTGGTACTTTTAACAGCCTTCCAGTACCTGAAGGGGGGCTACAGGAGAGCTGGGGAGGGACTCCTGATCAGGGAGGGGAGACATGGGACAAGGGGGAAGGGTTTGACACTGAAAGAGGGGAGATGGAGCCGAGCTGTGGGGAAGAACTTGTTTGGTGTGAGGGTGGTGAGAGCCTGGCCCAGGTTGCCCAGAGAAGCTGTGGCTGCCCCATCCCTGGAGGGGTTCAAGGGCAGGTTGGAGGGGGCTTGGAGCAACCTGGGCTGGTGGGAGGTGTCCCTGCCCAGGGCAGGAAGCCAGGGGGGACTTGATGATCTTTAAGGTCCTTTCCAACTCTAACCATTCTATGATTAAGATAAATTCAAATCCTGGTTATGCTGCAAAGTTCTGGGGGAAAAAAACTAGTTATTGAGCTGACTGCACAGTCAAGCCACACATGAACACATCCAAACCCAAACTTGGTGACACTCCATTTATTCCTGTCCTCGGGCACAGTCATTGTCCCCCTCCCACGCCCAGAGGAGCAGCGTTACTCACTTTCCATGAGAATAGGTCAGTTTGTTGTTCTCAGAAGGTATTTTTGCCAGGATCTGCTCCGTCACCTCCAGGAAGTTCCCTCCGCACCAGGCGTGTTTGGCCAGGATGGTTGTGCCCCTGGCCACCACAGCGAACAGGATGGCCATGGCTCCACGCTACCTGGGGATAAAAACACAGCAAGGATTAGACTCCTGTTCTTTGGCAGAGAAAGTATCACCATCTCCCCAGTGTTCCCTCTGCTCTCAGCACAAACCCGGGGGGTGCCTGTTCGACACTTCGATAGGACACCATTATCAGAAAGCGCCTCTCATTTCCCCTTTTGGGTTCTCTTCAGAACGACACCGAGACTCCAACAACCTCTAAAAGAAGGTTTTTCTTATTCCTACAGTCTGTGATCCCATAGTCAATTTCGCCTACCTTATTTCCACCTCGATTTCTAGCTATTAGGACTTTTTTTTTTTTTCTCTTCCTAAATCTAAAGATTTTTCTTGCTTGTTATTGAAAAAAAATCTGCCTGCAGTCAGCAAGCTCCGGCTGGGAGAGGAAGTCACTGCCTTACAGCTCTATTAACAGCAGCTCATTAGCCAGACCAAGCCCACCAGCCCTCACACATGACTGCTCCAGGCCAGCCTCAGCTTCGATTGCTATCAAACTGCAGAACCACTGCCACTTGCCCAGAGTCACACCACACTGACCCCTGTCAGGCGTCTGGAGACACTCACTAAGTGCGTGTCGTCCCCAAACATCTGTAAAAGCACCATCTGCACTTCTGGACGTGGGACAGCACATTTGCAAACCCATTACCCTCAGCAATTCCTACAGGCCAACAATCCTGCACAGGTATCAAACCAGGCAGGTTGCAGGGTGCAAGACTTTGACTTCCACGAAGTCTCCAGCGCTGGCCAAACCCTGCTGCTGTCACAGAAAGGGACACACTTAATCAGCTCCAGTATCAGCACGTTAATCTGCCGACAGCCCCGAGGTTTCCCATGTGAAACCACATGTCCAGCCCCAGCTGTGACATCTGCTCGCCCCATCCAGCACATCCATAAGCCTCTTTTCTGCTTAGGAAAGACTTAGGAAGACTTTTGACCCCTCAAAAAAAAAAAAAAAAAAAAAAACTGAAAATTTAAACTTCCAATAAGATTAAGCTTGGAAAAATTTTTACCCCCCAAAAAAAAAAAAAAAAAAAAAAGCTTATTTTTCACTTTGCACTTGACCGCCCTCAAATTGCCTTGTTTTGTGTCTGGAAACATCTGCATTCAGGCTGGGAAGGTTCCACACTGATTTCAGTGCAACCAAGAAGCCTGAAGAGATTATGGAAGTTACGGAATATGGGAAAGCAAGAGTAACAGTTTGTCCCCTCACCCACTTTCTAAAGAAACTCCTCAGCACCAAGATACTGAAGGAGGAAGAATAGGAAGCCGTGATTACTCACGATCTGCAATACAAAAATTAAAAGTTCAAGAGGAGGTTCCAGCAGCAGCAAGTAGTTCTTCACACAACGCGTCCTCGGAAGCACACTCCCACGTGGTATCACAGAGGACAAGAGTTCACGTGAGCTCAGAAAGTGAAAGTTCATGAAGGAAAAATAAATAAATCACTATTAAACAAGTTTCACCCAAGCAGCCACTTGCTGGAGCCTTAACCGTCTGTGAAGTCCCAGTGCTCCCAGTTCAGAGCAAACGCCTTAAAGGAGTTTAAAAACACATTTCCCAGGCATCCCATTATCTCTTGCAACACTGGAACTACCAAGCCCATCACATGACAAGCTGAGAGCAGAGTCGTTCATGAAGCCTCTTGCAGCCCTCCTGGCCCAGCCTGCAGATCCCATCTCACCAGGGCTCTTATTGCTGCCCCTCTACTGGAAATCCCATTTCCTTCCAGAAAGAGGCACCAGAAGGGCTCAGACTGAACCCACACGAGCAGCACCGAGCCTCCTGATATCCAGCAACAGCAGATTTAAGTGGCCAGCCTACCAATGTTCTGGTTTTTTTTTCTTTAATCCAGCTTTAAATTGCTGCATCAACCACACGCTGATTGCATTAGAGCAGGAAAGCAGTCACAGACACCAGGGATCTTCTGCTGCCTCTGCCCTTAAAAACCTGCTCTCGGCTCCTCAGAGCACGGTGCTACCAACAAAGTCTGAGGGTCACCAAGTGCTTCAAGTCAAGATTCAGCTACCTCTAGTTAAACACAAGTAAGTTACTCATCACAAGTGCCCCCTCCACGGACCTGAAGAGACCAAAAGCTTTAGCCTGATGCTCACAATATTATTTATTTAAGATAAGAGCATTTGGACCAGGCAGCGAGCAGAAGCAGAGATCACTCAGAGCTAAAACATAGAGGAATAAGCAACTCCTTGGAAATCTCCTGCAAGAGCCAGAACATCCACCTGAAGAAGATGAAGCAGAAGAGAGGCCAAGGAAAAACACAGAACCAACTTGTTTATAGACAAATGTGAAACAAAACTGCAGCGTGGGTAGCTCAAGCTAAAGGCTTATCACAGCAGAGCCAAGGGCAGCCACACAGCTGATTCTGATCTTGTAAAAATCAATGATTAACAGCCCCACAACTGTTCCTGCTCTCCTCATCAAAGAGGCAGCTGCTCACTCCTGACTGACAAGGCCACAGAGAGAGCACGAGTATTTTCCCCCCAAAAAAGTAATAAACTTAAAAAAAAACAAATTTAAAGTCATCAACTGTCCAGTCACTCACAAGGGGTTCTCTCCAAACACAGGCCCATCTCCTGTCCTTCACCTCAGCCTTCACTAATTTAGCCAGAAACCACCCAAACTGCACTTTATTCTGTCTTCTACTCCCTCAACACCTGATCCTCTCTCCAGGTTCTACCAGCCCTGGGCTCCCCAGCAGCGAGGAACTGCAGAGCAGCACGGGTCAAAGGATTTGTGGAGAGTTGCAACAGTGCAACCATCTGCACCAAAACTACCTAAACCTGGAGGAATTTATGACACCAGCCCGTTCCTCCAGACCCAGGAGGCACAGCCCTCTGTGGTGGTTTGGCCAGTCCAGCAGCTGCACCAGAGCCGCCTCGGCGCGTGGTACGAGAGCAGGTCCCTGCCAGGGATAAACAAACCCCACTAAGCCTCTTGAGCAATCAGCTGACTGTCAAGTATCAAGAAACCAATCTCTTCAGGCTGCAGTCACTCACTCAGCGGGGCCAACATAAAGGAGCAGTTGTAAGAGGGGAAAAAAACCCCATCCACAAACCCTCCCCCTGCCACAGGTTGCGAAGGCAGCGAGAGACGGACCTCAGGAGGTTCACACAAGCAAAGAGACACCCTAATTCCCAGAGCAGAACAACTCCAGCTCAAACTGAGGAGTATAAAGTGGTTCAGACAACTTCTAAAAGTCTCCCTTAATAGTGGATATTTGCAGAACTCACATGAGTGAGGTGAGAGTTCAGTAGCACCCGAGTAAAGTGACACTGGGCGATGCTCGCTGGGCCCCGCGGTCCCAGGCCAGCACAGAGATCACCTCCCTGGGTTCAGAGTCCTCTGCCTGACTTGGGAGACAACAGCCACGGGCTCTGCAATAACACCCCCCTGCTCTGAGCAGGATGGGTTAAACAAAACAAAACAGATGAACATGGAGCATATTTCTCTCTCCAAGCAGCATCTCACACAGCCCTGTGAAACTCATCTATTGCTTTGTTAGTAACACAAGTCTATTAAACTGCTACAGAACATTCTCCTTGGATGTTACAAGAGAGTCAGGAATTAAATCCACTAAAATCAATAATTTTGTGTAATCTAGAAATCACAACTGTTTTCTATCTAAAATTACAATAGCTGGAAGACCAAACCTTCCTAAAAGCAAAGCTCACTCAGAGATAGCGGGTGTGAATTCACAGGGAGAGGCTCCAAACGAAGTGAAGGGGGAAAAGGCTGCATTTTTCAGCCACCCAGAAACCACCAGGGATCCAAAGAGCTCCTTAAGTGGTGCTGGAGCTGAAGCACAGAGGTGAGCTGGGCGCTGTGATCGTGTGGCAGGGAGCTTCTCCTCCTTGCAAGTCACGCTGCGAGGCGCAGGAACTGCCACGGCGTTGGGCAGGAGGGTGCAGGGAAAACCTCCAGCGTCGTAAAGAACGTCAGAAACGCAGGTCTGGCCTTCAACGTGAGGGTTAATGCTTCAGTAGGAATGATTTATTGTTTTCGAGCGAGACACAAAGCAGCTTGGCTGTCGCTCTGCCTTCAGGGCAGATCTAGAACAGACTATGGGGTGGCAGTTGTGAAATTTGGGGTGAGAAGTGAACCCAGAATGAGAAATGAACCCAGAAAACTGCACTCAGCCTCGCTCGGCAGCGCTGCCCTCACCAGCCACGGGGCACTGGTCACTCCTTCTCAACCAGAAGATCAGCAGCCTCAGTGCCAACAAGCGATGGAGGAAGTTACTGCTTGTATTTCCAGAAATCCTCTTCCCAGACAGCAAGGGGCATCGCGTTATTACTGGCTTTAAACATGAAATGAGGGTTAAGTGTTGCAACCCTGCAAGTTGCAAACGGCCTGACTGCAATGAGAGGATCGTTTAAGCACAGTGACTTCAGCAGAAAACGGCCCGGGCTTCCCTTTAACCCTTCCTTGGCATCTGCAAGTTGTTATTTCTTCAAAGGGTGTTCCAGCGTGAAGTTTGTTTGTTGGTTTTAAGCCCGAGGATCTGGAGGTTGATGCAGCCCCCTCTCTGCCGGCACAGCTGGCCTCGGTGCCTGCGCCCCGCAGCACGGAAACAAGAAAATTCATCCAGTTTCTCCTCCGGGCCCATCCCTTTGCCGGACGCCGGTGTGACCCGGTTTGAAGAGGGGCAGCGACACGGGACGTGATGCCCACGGAAGGAGGTACCACCCCCCCGTCCCCTCTCTGCGCCCCCCGAGGGCCCCCACCGCAAGAGTAACTTATCATTTATCATTATCCAGTCATTAAAATCCACGCAAGCTCCGAGTCGCACCCGCAACACACCGCTCCGGGGTTAACCGGC